GGTCCAACTTCTTTGGGCTCTCTGGGCTTCCTGGACTTCCTGGAAGTCTATTTCCTTTGCCAGATCGGGGAAGTTATCCTTCATTATTTGTTCCAATAAGTTTTCCATTTCTTGCTGTCCTTGTTCTCCTTCTGGCACCCCTACAATTCAGATATTGGAATGTTTCAAGTCGTCCCAGAGGTTCCTAAGTCTCTTTTCATTTTTTTGAATTCTTGTTTCTTCCTTTTCTTCTGGATGGATGTTTATTTCTTTCTTTTGTTCCCGATTGTTGCTTTGAGTCCTGGTTTCCTTCCTGTCACTATTGGTTCCCTGAATATTTTGCTTTATTTCATTTTGGGTATCTTTCATTTGTTCTTTCATTTTTGACAAAGCTCAATCAGTTGTGTGAGCATTTTGATTACCAGGGCTTTAAATTCTCCAGCAGATAGGTTGCCTATCTCTTCATCATTTAGTTCTCTTTCTGAGGTTTTGCTGGGTTCTTTCATTTGGGCCATATTTCTTTGTCTTGGTGCAGCTGATAGATTGTAAGGGGGTGGGGCCTTAGGTATTCACCCGGGCAGGGCAACCCTCCTGGCTCTCATGTGTGACTGGAAGTTTCCTCCACTGAGGCAACCCCTGTATTCCACAGTCCACACTATATTTTTTAACTTAAAAAAATTAGTCATGAATTTGTTCAACTACCTTTGTTTTCAGTGTTATATACATTTACTTTTTTAAAAAACAGTTGTTGTGGTACCTATTGGGGAAATAAAATAAGGGGCTCTTTTTAGCTGAATTCTGTTGTAGGCCAAAAGTCACTTTTCAATAAACAAACACAAGACAAACCAATAAATAAATGAACAAATAAATGTATACATTTATATTAACTATCTTTCTAAATTTACCTACTGATTTTTTTTCCCGAGTGGAAGGTAAAATGTCAGAAGTGGTATTAAGCAGAGGCGTTTCTGAGCATCTTTTTACAAGTTTTACATGGCCTGGTAATGTTGGTCATTGAAGTAGTAATCCCACCACACCTTACCTTCACTTTGATATTTCTTAGGAAACTGCATGCTTGTAGAGTGGGGAAGAGTCATTCAAGAATCTAGGCATGACAGAACATGCCTCTTTATACAGTATCTGGCAGGGAGTACACTGCTTGGTGGTTTCCTGAAAGTTTAGTAGAATAAGAAGGGGGCAAGCACAACACTCCCCATAATTTATGTATGATCCCATGAATGTACACTCATCTTGTATTGCCACAGGCCAAAGTTACATTAGAAATTGAGGGCTAGGTTATTTAACACAAGTGTTTGTATTAAGCAGCCATTGATGCAGAAAAAATCACATAAGGACCATTACAGAAAAACAACTCAATTTCATTTTTAAAAAGAATACAAATTGAACATAAAATGAAATGAGTGCTTGTTATTATAGACAGAATCATAAAAGATTGTGGTTCTCCTCAGTGATAGAGGGAAGGAAGAGAGACTGAGTGGGTGAGAAGGAGTCAGGAAGAGGCAAACGCAAAGTCTGATTGTCAAAGCAAAATAAAACAAATGTATTTAAAAGATAATTATTTTTATTTTTAAAATAATAAAATAGTGTAAATTCTTCTAAAAAAATTATAAAATTCGTACCTGAACTCTGTAAGCCAGTTAATGTTGAAAACCTCTATTCTTAGTTAAAATATATACATATGTACATATATATGTATGTAGATACATACATATATAACAAGATATATATCTTGTTAACGGTTAAGAACCTTTTAAAATTATTTTTTATTGTTGTTCACTTTCATTTGTCCCACCTTTTTCCCCCTCATTCTCCCCTGCTCCCCCATCCCCGCTCCCACGGTGAATGTGTTTTAGTGCAAGCGTTTCATGCCAGAAACTAGAAAGAGTGTATCACCTGAGGGAGAAGGGCTGCTGTTTAAATGCATCCCTCAGTGATTCCACTAACTTAACACCTGAGCCCCGGGAAGTAATGTCCCAAATTTGGTCCACACTGATTTTTACGTTGGCAAGATCTTGCTTGATTGGGTACAATTGGTTCTATATTGTTGTAGAATTCTGTTTAGGATTATAATATGCAATTTTAAAAAACCTTAATTTGATCTTTAAGGAACTAAATGGCCTCTGGTCAGGGCATAGTGCAGTTTATCATCTGTGATATTGAAACCTTGTGCTATTGTACTTTCTTTTTCCTTAACACATTCTTTTCCTTCTAGAGCAAGATTTGCCTTTGTTTTTGTAGTTAAGATGTTCGCCTCTTAAGAAGTATAGTCATAACAGTCTATTAATCTGATAGACTTTTAAGATTGTGCTCTTGGAAGAAATAGTAATGAGAGACTGCTGGTGATGATTAGACAGATTGAAGCCAGAAGTTTAATTAGTGCTAACAGACAGACTTTATCATGTGGAACACTTCCATCTTCAACTTGAGAAAAGACTTGCCCTTTGCCATGACTACACAATAGGATTTGAGCTCATGTTTTATTTTCTTGCCATGTCTTTCTCCCTGCAATCGGCTAATAGACTTCTTTGCATGGAAAATATCTTTGGTACTACAGTCTTCTAATTTAGTTTTTTTTCTTTCTGGAAAGGACACTGAAGATTGCTTCCAGATATTTTGCAATAGTGAATGTAGATTTTCTAGCAACAGGATGCATATCTAAAATGCCTGAGTTGATTTTTAGAAAATCAATAAAATTTCATTTTTCCCATGAAAATATTTATTTTGGAAAATGTATGTTGTTGCACAGCAAGTGGGTAAAGCTCAGACTTGAGTTCTTGCCCAGCACTTGCTTTCTGGGAGTGACCCAGGGCTGGCTGAGTGTGGTCCTCCCTGCTGCTTTCCTGAAACAGCCCCAGTGAGCTGCGTGCTGTCACAGGTAAGCTTCAGTGATAATAAAACAGGACATTTATAAATGATTTACTTTTTAAAATATAAGTAAGTACCTATAATACCATCATTCAATTTCTTGCTTTCAATATGGGAAGGGAAAAAAGAATGTTTAAACTTAGCCCTGCCTTTTAACCATCTGATGCTGCCTGGCATGAGTGAGCTCCAATTGATGTAATATTTGGGAAGTTACACCATCTTTTCATCATCCCCAAAGTTTGGTTTTGTGTTGTTTGTCAAAATCGGAGCATGCCACCAGAGAAGTTTTGCATGAGCATATCATCACCCTCTCACCTCAAAACAAACAAAACACCTCAAAACAAATAAAACAAATAATAATCATTGCTTTGAAAGAGCTGTCAGAGTTTAATTAAGCAAAGTCTAGCTAATTGCCTTCCAGAGTTACAGAGGTTTTGCTAATACTTTGCATTTGGTGGTTTCTCTAGAAAGGACCCTGAAAGACACTATTGAGTCGAGAATGCGTGGGGGTTGGGTGGGGTGTTCACCCTGGTTGCTTTGCTGTGGTTTATACACAGAGCAAGGCTGCTTTGCTGCTAGGCTGTCAGCCACCACGTTTGATATTCTCCCTGCCTTTCCTCCTTGCCCCCTCAGGACAGAGAGAATGTCTGAAGGCTCTCTTAGCTTTATAATCATTGCAAGTGATGTTGGTCTTGATTACCAGTGTGTCAGACTCCCGTTCTCAGACAAGGGGGGTCAGCTGCCCAATGAAGAGTGGAAATGAACTTGGCATGGATGAGAGAGGCATCGTAACCCTGGCTCAGCAAATTGACCACAATTGGGTTACTATTAAATACAACAACAAAACTTTAAGCCAATGTGCTGTTAAAAAAACCGCCTTACATAACTCGCTGAAGCAGGTTTAGGTTTCTTCTGGTTCAAGTTTTCTTGCCTCTTTGATAATCAAACAATCTGAAGAAAGGCATAGAGTTTCAGGGGAGAAGCTGCATGATGGGCTCACAATAGAGCCATTTACAAAGGGCCCTTTTATTAGCTTACACAGTATCTGCATCATTCGTAGTCTCTGGCTTTACTACAAGGCTCCATTTAAACTTAACCCAGCTTGCACACTTAACTGATCCAGGAATTACTCAATACAACCAGCCAGCTACTGTAGCCTTTTTTCCCTTTGATAAGAGGATGTAACACAATGTGCTTTACAGTTCTTAAATGACTACATTTTCGCTGTCTTTCAGATGTGGTGCTGGTATGACCTTTTGTTCTTAATAAAATTTCACATGCTTTGATTATATTTTTAAAAGTATAAACAAACACAATATTGATGCCCTACCCTTCAAGTTAAATTTTAAAATCTGGTAGATGATATAGAAATGGAATTCATGTCATAATATTTACACAGCTGATTTTAAAAACATTAGATATTATTATTAACTCTTACATATTATTAAATCAGGCCTAAAAATATTTTCTTTTTGAGGGAGGGTTTTTTAAAAATCAATTTCTTATTTTTTTGAAGATTTTATTTATTTTTAGACAGAGGGGAAGGGAAAGAGAAAGAAAGGGAGAGGAACATCAGTGTGTGGTTGCCTCTTGCATGCACCCTACTGGGGACCTGGCCTGCAACCCAGGCATGTGCCCCTACTGGGAATTGAAGTGGTGACCTGTTGGTTCACAGGCCCATGCTTAATCCATTGAGCTACACCAGCTGGGGCTTAAGGGAGGTTTTGGTGCAATTAATTCCTAGTAGTACTTCAGTATTTCACTTCTACTCTTGCACACTTCTGGTTATCTGCTAGTGTTTGTGCTATTTCTACTACCACAGTGCTAACACACTAACCAGGGGATACTTGGTTAGTCCCTGCATGCGGGAGGAGAGAGGACAGAGTCCTGAGGATATATTTGGTAGCACCCCACACTTTGGACCCAACCCGCAGAATAGTGGCTCTCAAACTTTATTAGGAACAAAAATTGTCAGAATGTTTGATAAAAATGCAGGTGCCTGGGCCCCACCCACAGGGTCTCTGATTCAGTAGTAGGTCTGGTGGGGGGGCACGGGAAGGGGGTGCTGAGAATATGCATTTCAACAAACACCGTGTTGATTCTGGTGCTGATTGTCATGAGCCATACTGAGAACCATGATCCTAAATTCACCAGGGAGTGCTGGGAATAGTCATGTCCCCCTGCTGGGCCTGTTCCCCCCAGGTGAGTGGGGACCACCTTGGATGGAATGGCCCCTGGTGTGATTTCCCAGAGCTATTGGTGGCAGGCAGAGAAAGATGCCTCTCGTAATTGTAGGGTTGAAGCAGCGAGCACCCTTCTTCTGTGCTGCTTGCTTCTGAGGAAGGGCTCCACCGCAGGCAACCCGATCCCAGGAACGTGCCTCACTGGGGGCTGGCACCGGGGATTGGGCAGTGTCATCTCACTCCCACTCCAGCTCTGCACAGGATGAGAATTTCAGCATGGTTGGAACATTCATCTGCAACATTTCATCCAAATTTGTGTCTCTGTCCTCTTTCCTAACCCCTATTCAAGTAATTTCAGCTCTTTAGTTAAAGTTTTTTTCCAAAGGATTTTCAATGAGTTATAGGTGCTCAAGAAGCATTTGGGGAATTATAGATGTAACACATTTGTTCATTTTATGAAGAGGACAGACAGGGGGAAATGTGCTGATGACACCACTGATGTTCATGGCACTTTGCCTGAGGTGCTGAGTGTGTTCTGTTTGTAGACTCACCCTCCCCGTGTAGTTGAAAGACTTTTTATTATGAGAATTTTTTATTTTTTTTAATTTACTTTTCAATTACAGTTGACATGCCATATTATATAAGTTTCAGCTGTACAACATAGTGATTACATACTTATATGACTTGTGAAGTGGTTCCCTCAGTACTCTTAGCTTTACCTGACACCATATGTAGTTACTACAATATGAATGATTGTATTTCCTTTGCTATACTTTGTCTTTGTGACTATTTTGTAACTATCAATTTATACTTCCTCATCCCTTCACCTTTTTCATCCATCCACCCAGCAGCCTTGCCATCTGGCAACTTTCAATCTATCCTCTGTATCTATGAGTCTGTTTTTATTTGGCTTATTTAATTCTTTTCATGATTAGATTCTGCATATAAGTGAATTTATGGTAGTTGTCTTTCTGTCTGATTGCTTCCACTTGATACCCTCTGTGTCCATCCATGTTGTCACGAGTGGCAAGATTTCATTCTTTTTTATTATTGCATGATATTCTCTGGTATGTATGTACCAAATCTGCTTTATCATTTATTGATGGATACCTAGGTTGTTTCCATATCTTGGCTATCATAAATAATGCTGCAACAAACATTGGGTACATCTATCTTTTTAAATTAGTGTTTGGTATTTCTTTGGATAAATACCGAGATATGGAATTGCCAGGTCACAGAACTAGAGAATACAGCTCCTTATAGGCATCACCCAGTTTCCAAAGTTATGAAAATTTATCATATTTGGGGGCAGATTTTTTTTTTTCTTAAAAGTTGCTTGTAGTGTTTTTAATTGGTTCAGTTTTGGAATGAGTAGAACTTGAAATGCGTTGCTCGGGGCCTGAGTGCAGTGGTCATGAGTAGTGATCTGTGTATGTCCTTGCCAGGAATGTGTTCCAGAAAACCTGGAACTGAAGAGGAAGATTTTTGCTCAGTTAGATGGAATCATTGGTGACGACGTGATCCTCAGCAGCTCCACCTCATGCCTCTTGCCTTCCAGGCTGTTTGCAGGACTGGTGCACGTGAAGCAGTGCCTTGTGGCGCACCCTGTGAGTATTCCAAACCTGGAGATTGAGCACATCTTATTCTGGTTTGGGGGAGCAATACATTTTGTTTAATCCACTAGTATTTTTTAACTGTTTTGTTGAGATACAATTCATATACCACAGAATTCAAATTGTACAATTTAATGGTTTTTAGTGCAGGGAGTTTACAATATCAGCACTTTTAAAAAGAACTTTATCCAAAAATATTTTGTATTATATCTGCATACCTAATGCATAGTGGGGCAGAACAAGCAATCCTTACAGACTTTTGGAGCAGAAATACTGAACTAAATATTCCCTTACCACAGAAAAAGTCCACGTTACAATAATGTGTACACTGTGTAGGATTTTATAGACCTGTCACTTGTACTGTGTGGTTTACTGTGTAGGATGAGTTTTGCTAAAACACAGATTCTGAGTCTCACTTCTCAGATTTTGGTTCAGCAGGAACCCCTCCTTATTGTTGGTCCCACCCCATTGTTATAACTACCTGGACAAACTTATTATCTAGGCCTGCATTATGAGGCGTATTGGGTAATGAGTTTAAGTTGCCATGCGAGCACTCGGTACATCTTGAGATTAATGTGTTAGTGTGAGCAATCAGAGAGAGGGAGTCATGGATCACTTGATGGATGTTTGAGTCCCAACTGTAACCTCAGTATGAACTTGGAGAACCCAGATGCTTTGTTAGGACAGAAAAGCTAGCTCAGTTCAAGTCATCAGAAGTATGACAGTATAGGAAGTATGGTAGCTTAGCACCTTCAGGCTATTGGAGGTTAAAGCTTGGGAGAGGCTACACCAAGAGGCTGGGCAGACCATATATTGTCTGGTTGGGCCTATGAGAGGGAAGAATGTTTGAGTCTGGGAAAGAGTGTAAGAAAGACCCTAGGCCAAGAACAAGTATGGGGTGTGGTGAATTGTGAGGGGGGTCAGCTGGACTGGAAGAGCGTATGTACCTGGGAAGTATATGTACCTGTGATATTCCCTCTGGATATCAAAATGAAATATCACCTCACACCTGTCAGTCTTGGGAAGAGTTGGGTTGTGGAGAAACAGAGTTGCTCTGAGGAACTGGGACTGGCTCAGGTATAGAGCTGTGTGGTCATATGGTACAGACGCTGCCTTTGGAGGGTAGCCTGAAGGTGGCTCAGAGAGGGGTCGCCACTTCACAGAGCCCGGGACAGCATTCCATGCATGAGGCTGGGGCCCATGGAGTTGAGAACAGGGAAGTTATTTTTGAGCAAGAGTAATTTAGAGTCAAGAGGTCCCGGATTGGCTCAAGGGAGTAAATGAAAAGAGTGAGTCACAGATGCAGGCTAGATTTTATATACTGCAATGAGGGATGGCTTGGATACCACTTATAGGACTGTGTGGTTCAGGATGTCTAGATGTCCTTTTGCAGAAGTATAATGGAAAGTGTGAAGAGTGATTATGAAATAAGGAGACTGAGACCAATAGAACATAAAATAAAACCAGTCACATGTACTTATCATTAAATACAGGTGAATTAGCACCAACAGGACCTAAAGACCATGTCCAGTCTTTGCTTCTGGGACAATTGTGCGTCCATAAAAACCCTTAGGAACCAGAAACCACTTACTACATTGTTACTCAATTGCTTCATTGAAGTTCAAGGCTCTTGCTTGAAAGCTTGCAATGTTTAACCAGTGTTTTTACTTCTAAGGCAGTTTAGAAAAACAACTAAATCAAATTGTTCAGAAAATATCTCCTAAACCCTTTGACAGGGCTTGTTCAATGTCACCAATCATCAGAGAGATGCAAATTAAAACCACAATGAGATATCACCTCACTCCTGTCAGAATGGCCATCATCCATAAGGCAACAAAACAAATGTTGGTGAGGATGTGGAGAAAGGGGAACCCTTTTGCATTGTTGGCTGTAATGCAGATTGGAGCAGCCACTATGGAAAGAAGTATGGAGATACCTCAAAAAATTAAAAATAGATCTAACATAATGATCCAGCAATCCCACTTTTAGGTATTGACCCAAAGAAATCCAAACTGCTAATTCGAAAAGATATGTGCACCACTGTGTTCATTGTAACGTTATTTACAATAGCCAAGATATAGAAGCAACCTAAGTGCCCATCAATAAACAAGTGGATAAAGAAGATATGCTTACACATATACAATGAAAAATTACTCGACTATAAAAATTGAGTTCATTTGCAACAGCATGGATGAACCTAGAGGGTATTATGCTAAGTGAAATATGTCTGACACAGGAAGACAAATACCGTATGATTTAAAAACAAATGGACAAACAAACAAAAAAGACTCAAAGAAAAAGAGACCAAAGCGAAGGTTGTCAGAGGGGGAGCATGGGGGGTGGGTGAACCAGGTGAGGGGGGAAATAGTCGTAATGTGATCAGTTTACATGGTGACAGCTGCCAGAATTAGTGGGGTGATAACATTGTGAGGTATAAAAGTGTTGAATCACTATATTGTACACATGAAACTAATATAACCAATATGAGATTGGATACCAACTACACTTAAATAAAAAATAATTTAAAAAAGACTTTATCAAACCTGTTCAATTTTAAACTTCCAGTGCGCGAGCTCGTGCCTTACTTTCTTCTTTCCCAGCAGGATGTCACCTCTGACCAGTTTCTCAGTCAGTATCTATTGAATACAAATGGCATTTCTCTCCTTCATACCACTCCAATATTGCTTGGTTTTACTTATTTAATCAAAGACAAACAGCATAGTCAAAGTCAGTCCAGACCTCATTGTAACGACTAACCTCTGTTACTTTTATAAATTATTTTAAACTGAAACTGACATCACTAAAGCAAATCAAACCACCCAGGTTGACCTTCTTCAGAATTTTATCCCTTTTTTCTTCTGTGCCGGTGTCACCCACCTTTTGATCATTCCACTGACCTCTGTAAAGGACAAAAAGCATCTTGGACAATTCAGTCTTAGCTAGCCTGGCAGTACCTGCAGAACCCAGACCCACTGGTGACCTTTGAGGAGCCACAGGGTTTTCTGTTCAGCTCTCCTGGCCAGACAGAAGTGGCTCCGAGTGTCAGCTTACAGGCCACTGCCCTCAGCTCGATGCTGTCACTCCTCTGCACGAAGGGGAAACAGGAAACGGGATAAAGGAAGAGGAAGTTCTTTCATGCCTTGAAAGACTGCTGCCTCCACCCTTCTGCAGAAGGGCCACCTGCCAGTGAGTTTTGACATCACACATGTTCTTTTGGGCACCTTTCTGGTGGGCATCTCAGCACTGGTGGGGTGTCATGCTCTCTCCACTCTGAAGTAGATGAAAATGGGATGTAGAGGGGGAAAAGTAAGAAGTACAGAGGGATGATGATACGGCCATTTTCCAGGTCCCAACATTCTTGCTATCTGATGTTTTTATGCTTTCTTTCCATATATGCCTGTCTCCCTGCAGAGGTGCAGAGGGCTTGCGGATGGCCATTTGGCAGTGGGGCAATATTTGCTAGTGACTGTCTGAAGGTCGAATATGGTACAGTCTCTTGGTGCTTAGAATCTACGCCACATTCCACAAAAACAGCTCATGTTTGCACTGAGGGTTTCGGCCATACTTTACAAAGATTTTCCCTTTTTCATTCCTTATTCCAGCTGGGGATGTGATCGTCCCATGGGGCTTATGGGGTCTCATGAGTGCACCCAGTGCTCTCAGTGCTGCCCTGCTGCTGCCTTGGAAGGACACGTGTCAGCCCATGGGGATTTGGGCCCTGAGTGGGAGCAGATTCCAAAGGCACAGCTCTGACCTCGGTACCAGGCTACATGGAGCTGGACGCTACTGGGACTTAATCAGGACAGCCTGCACAGGTGCCCAGGGTGCTCCCACCCAGCACGCCCTGCCATGCATGTGCCTTCTCTGCTGCACTCTCCCTTCTCATGCTGAGCCTATTTGTCCTCATGATGTGGTGGTCACTGGAACACTCCGCTCTGGAGTTGCTGTACGTGGACAGTGCATGTGTCTGTGTGTCCCACACATGGCACAGCACTGTCTGTTCCGGATTTCCAGCTTCCTAGCCATGGGAGCTGCCTTTATTTTTTCACTTTGTGTAGGGCAAGTTCAGAAGGTAGGAGGTTGTCACTGATGAAAGGACTTCACTATGTAAATTATCAAAATACTGAGAGACAAATTCCTCTGAGCTACATATAAGCAAGAACCCCTTCGTTTTTGCACCCATGTTGTAAGAGGAGAAGGAATTCACCTAGATGGTAGCGCCCCCACCATGGGGGTGTGAGTGGATCTTCTGGAGAAGGGGCAGCCTGCCTTTCTTCTGTGAGGTTAGCTTCTTTAATTGGCTGCAGAGAGAATAAACAGCCCTCTGTGTCTGGGCTGTGCTATCGCCCGATCACATGCCTCCGGCTTGGTTCCAGATTCTGGCAAGGCTTTTCACGAAGTGAATGGAGAAGGGCCCCTGTGCCGCCCGGCTCAACCTGAGCCCTCAGACAGTCCCCTCATGTGCCTCCAACACGGCTCAGTCCAGGGACCATTGTGGTTAACCTTTAAGGACATCACCTTCTTTTCTCCTTTTTTTTCCCCATTTATTTTTTTATTTTTATTTTTATTTTTTAAAATGTTCACCCGAGGACATGTTTATTGAGAGAGAGGAAGGGAGAGAGAAACATTGATCAGCTTCCTCCCATACTCAGCCTGACTGGGGACCGAACCCACAACATTTTGGTTTATGAAATGATGTTCCAACCAACTGAGCCACCCAGTCAGGACTGTTTTCCTCATTTCTTGGTGGCCTATTGCTCTATCTTGTAGACTGACAGCAGAAAGCCTGTCCTGCATCCCTGCCAGAAGGGGAAGAACATTTCAGAAAGTAGCCATTCTTTCCTTTTTAGTGGAATCACTTACATTGGTTTTCTCTCTTCTTTCTTTCTCTTATCTATACTACATTAAATTTAAGGGGCACCTGTCATGATTGTCAGGATCCTTCTCTGAGCCTGGAACAGGGATTAGTTTCCTGTCGCAGGGGGAGTTGCTGTGGCGAGAATGATCTCAGGCCCTGGAGGTCCTTGCCCAGCATCCCACCACCTGGAGCCTGGGAACACAGCAAAGGGCCAGCCGTGTAGCTGTGGCTCTCATAGTGGGTGCTGGGGAACTGCTGCAGGACTCTGTGCTGGAGGTGGTATGACCAGGGTCATCCTTTTAATTACAAAAAAATTTCATTGTGATAAAATACACATAACATAACATTTACTACCTGAACCATTTTAAGTGTTCAGTCCAGTGGCATTAAGCACATTCACTCTGCGGTGGAACCATCACCACCGTCCATCTTGAGAACTCATTTCATCTTATAAAACTGAAACTCTGTCACCGTGAAGCAACTCCCAATTTTCCTTCCAAAGCCCTTGGCAACCACCATTCGCCTTTCTATTCCTATGGATTGATAGCTCCACCTTCCAAAGGGTCACCCTGCCAGGGACAGGGAGGGTGAGCCTGCAGGGAGGCCAGTGAAGAGAGGAGAGTGCCGGGACTCAAGTTGGAAGTGATGGCCTGAGCCAGAAATATAGCACAGGGAATGATTTTTTGAGGAGGTAAATATAATTGGGAAGACTTTTGTCACTGATGGGAAGTGGGTGAGGTGGGGAAGAGGGAAGGACCAAGGATGCTTCTCATGGTACTAAGCTGGGTGTTCTTATTAAGACAGAGAACTAAGAAGAGGAACATGTGTTGGGGTGGAGAAGTATGAGTTTAATTTATGACAGGTTGTGAGATGTCCGAGGGAAAGAGTCCAGTACACAATTGTAAATGTGGGCCTAGAGTGGGAGGTACGCTCTGTGTGAGGTTCCAGCATCTTGATGGTGGCGCTGATGTCCTGACAAGCCCTCCTAGGAGGCCAAGGGTGCAACCTGGAGCACCATTACTCAGAGAAGGTGTGGGAAGACATAGAGCCTGCAAAGAGGAAGAAGACAGGAAACTAGAAAGATTATGTAAAAATGTGTTTTACCTGTTTGTCTCCATCTGTGTTTTGCTATATGAAGCTTACAACACTGAAGAGATCCTGAGCCAGCATCCCTGCTGTACATTGACATAAAGTTCATCTGACACAGACATGCTTCCAGTTCTTATAATTCCACTCTTTAAAAAGGCCAGAGGTGAAATGTCTTTTGTAAGAGTTCAGTGATTAAGACAGGAGACAAGTAACTCAAGTGAGGCATTGGTTTAATTTATTTGAAAACAGGTGCCATCCTCTCTCACTTTCTTTTTATTTATTCATTGATTTGAGAGAGAGAGAGAAGAAGAAAGACATCTATTTGTTGGTCCACTTAGTTATGCATTCATCAGTTGATTCTTGTATGTGCTCTGACTGGGGATCAACCCACAACCTTGTGTATTGGGATGACACTCTTACCAACTGAGCTACCCAGCCAGGGCCTCTCACTTTTTAAGAGAGCTAAGGGACTGTGACCAGGACAGGCCAAGAGCAGGAGCCTTTGAAGTATAGCTGTGTGTGGACCATCTACCTCTTCTAGGCAGTGTTCTAGAAGAAATATATTTTCTTTTCCTTTTCTGTTGTGTCATTTTAAAATGGAAGCTTCTTGTAGTTACTTGGTAATGTGAGGTTCTACTAATTTGCACCCATGTATAGAGGGAAAAAACCTACAAGCAACACTTGAGAAACAGTTTACTGCACTGCTTGAGGCTAGTCGGGTTGTATTAAGTGATACTGTTTGTAGGCATTTGATAATTCTCTAGTAATTTTCAAAGTCAACCAAGAAAACCAAAGACTTCCAGCCAAGATGGAGGCCTGGGTAGATATGCTTTGCTCCTCACACAACCAAAAGAAGGACAACAAGAAATTTAAAAACAAAAAACAATCAGAACTGCCAAAAAAATCGAACTATATGGAAGTCTGGCAATCAAGGAGTTAAAGAAGAAACATTCATCCAGACTGGTGTGCCAAGACAAAGAAATATAGCCAAAATGAAAGAAGAGATCAAAACTCCAGAAAAAGAACTAAGTGACTAGGAGCTAGACAACCTGTCTGATGCAGAGTTCAAAACACTGGTAATCAGGATGCTCATAGAAATGGTTGAGTATGGTCACAAAATAGAGGCAAAAGTGAAGGCTATTAAAAGTGAAATAAAGAAAGATATATAGGAAACCAACAATAAAGAGTAGGAAACCAGGACTCAAATCAATGATTTGGAACAGAAGGAAAAAATAAACATTCAACCAGAACAGAATGAAGAAACAAGAATTTTAAAAAGTGAGGAGAGGCTTAGGAACTTCCAGGACAACTATAAACATTCCAACATCCTAATCATAGGGGTGCCAGAAGGAGAAGAGGCAGAGCAAGAAATTGAAAACTTATTTGAAAACATAATGCAGGAGGACTTCCTTAATCTGGCAAAGAAAATAGACTTCCAGGATGTCCAGGAAGTTCAGGAAGTCCCAAAGAAGTTTAGTCCAAGGAAGCACACACCAAGGCACATCAGAATTACATTACTCAAGATTAAAGAGAAGGAGAAAATCTTAAAAGCAGCAAGAGAAAAGGAGAGGCTTACCTACAAAGGACTTCCCATAAGACTATCAGTGAATTTCACAAAAGAGACCTTATAGGCAAGAACAGGCTAGCAAGAAGTATTCCAAGTCACAAAAGTCAAGGACCTACATCCAAGATTGCTCTATCCAGCAAAACTTTCATTTAGAATGGAAGGGCAGATAGAGTGCTTCCCAGATAAGGTCAAGTTAAAAGAGTTCATCATCACAAAGCCCTTATTATATAAAATGTTAGAAGGACTTATCTAAGAAAAAGAAGATGACCAAAACTATGAACAGTAAAATGACAGCACTCACAACTGAACCTAAAACAAACACACACAAAAAAAACCCTAAACAAACAACTAGAATGGGAACAGAATCACAGAAATGGAGATCACAGGGAGGGTTTTCAGTGGGGAGGGGATGGGGAAGGGGTGAATGGGGGAAGGGTAGAGAGAATAAGAAGCATACATGGTAGGTACAAAATAGACAGGTGGTGTAAAGAGTAGTATAGGAAATGGAGAAACCAAAGAATTTATATGTACGGCCCATGGACATGAACTAAGGCAGGGGTGGGGGGAATGCGGGTGGGAGGAGGGTGCAGGGCAGAGGGGAATAAAGGGGAGAAAAAATGGGACAACTGTAATGGCATAATCAATAAAATATACTTAAATAAGAAAGAAAGAGAGAGGGAGGGAAGGAAGGAAGGAAGGAAGGGAAGAAGGAAACCAAAGCCAACTGTTTCAGTGCTGGGCTAGGCATGCATTTCTGTCAGGACCTGCTCACGAGGACAGGCTCTTTTGTCCTAGACTGTGAACCCAGATCAACGCTGTGGATGGGTTCTGGGGCTGCAATTTATAGGTGAGGTCCAACTGTGGAGGCTGATGTTTAAGACTCAACATGGGAAAATTAAGGAAATGCCAAGTTTTGGGAAGATGCTGTCAGTTGTTTCTAATGGGCACAGTAGAATTTCAGGACCTTCAGTGACTGTCTCGGAAAGACATGGCTCAGCAGGGGTGGCTGGGGTCGATGTGAATTCTACACAGCCAGCAGCATTGAAAGCCCCTGGAGGTCAGGGATTTGGGAATGTCTGCAATGGGCAGGATGGTGGTCTGAATCTCCAAATTTCAACTCCTATGGGGTCATGATTCTTTAAACAAAACCATGCAGCCCGGTGCTGGAGTTCCTTTTTTCTCTCTCTTCATTGTGAACTACTGTGTTTCTCAAGTTTGCTGAACCCAAGGGGCCTTTCCAGAAAGGAATCTGCTTAGTTGACATATGATGTAGGTGAGCTGGGTCAGCAGAATGATGCCCACACTTCGGAGCTCCATTGACTGTCTCTCTCTGTCTCATAAGGTGAATCCTCCATATTATGTCCCACTGGTGGAGCTGGTCCCGCATCCAGAGACAGCCCCTGCAACAGTGGATAGGACCTACGCCCTGATGCAGAAGATTGGACAGTCTCCGGTCAGGGTCCTGAAGGAGGTCGACGGCTTTGTCCTGAACCGCCTGCAATATGCGGTCATCAGTGAGGCCTGGAGGCTGGTGCAGGTGTGCGGGCTGTGCTGGCCAGTGGGGACAGTTGCAGAGACACTCTGAGGGGTGGCAGAAGCAGGGATGAGTAGAGGGTGGAAGTGGGGATGAGCAGCGGGCCCAAGTGGGGGTGGTCTGAACAGAGGGCAGAGGCCTGGCCAGTGTGAGTAGAGGTGGAAATGGGGATGAGCAAGGGACAGAATTGGAGGTGGTTTCTGGCCGAGAGTGGAAGCAGAGCGGAAACAACTTCCTGGGTGCCATGGCTGTGGGAAGTCAGCACTCAGCACTTCTTGCTGTTTCTGGAAACTGATGGCCAGCTGTTCTCTCAGGTTTAGTGAAAAATGCAACAAAAATAAACCACCAGCGCAGTATTCATTGTTTAAAGACACTCTGTTACACAGAGTCATCTGATGATGGACTTTTCTGCCCCTACCTGTCGTTGCCACTAATTGTCTCTGGGAGGTATGCTGCATTTCCCATAGACTCAGACCCCACGCCTCTGGTGTGGAGGAAAAAAAATGTATTTTGAGTAAAGTACACAGTGTGTTTGCTAAAGAAACCCAATTTATTTCAAGAGCTTGAGGAAGAAATAATTATAATCCTTACACTTGTTAGTAACAGGCTTGTCTTACATAGAAACAGACATTATTTATATGTACATATTTAACTTCATTCTCTAATTTAAGGACTCTGCATGTGATCTAAGAAGTGTACTCACGGTCCACCCTCCCCCGCCACATTTGTATGGGGACATGGTGCAGGGCTAGGTTTGGGCTCAGGGGTGACAGCACTGCTACCTGCAGTGGGCCCACTGCTCCTGTCTGACTCCTGTGCAGGCCTGCAGGTCCCAGCCTGTGACAGGGACAAGGACATCACTTCCACAGCTCCCCGGTGCAGGGTGCGGTGGGATTCTGCCTCCCTGTTTGGCATTCTGTGTCAGCCCTGTGAAGTTCTTCATCTGACATCATTCCCTGGTGCATTTGTCACATGACAGCTGTGACTCTGTGTCCTCACCATTTTAATCCACTTAACGCTTTTACATCTGCAAGATAGTGCTTGGGTTTATACCATTGAGTTTGCAGTTTGAATTACTTAGCAATTGTAGAATGTCTTAAACATCAATTGGTGGTAGGGTATTGGAAAGAAACACTGAACTAAAAGTATCCCCTTGGAGATCTATTTAAAATATTTTTACTTACCTAGAGTGTGGGAACAATATAATAGATATAAGAAAAAGTCAGTATTACAGTAAAACATTGTGGGAGGTTTTAAGGTAATTTTTACTTTTATTTGTAATGTAGCTTAGTACCCTGAAGACAGAAAGAAAAGCCCTGAGTTAAATCTTGCTTTCTCCAGTCTGAAAAATGTGAGCCACCTCACGGGAAAACTCAGAGAGTCTGGTAAGGGAACTTGAGTGGGAGTCACACAGGAAGGATTCTGTTCTGACCTCAAAGTGAAACTGGCTGCAGTCTGGAAGCCCCAAGCTGGGAAGAACCACAGAGGGTTCTGCTGTCCCCTTCACTGGTTCAAGAGGCGGGAAGGTTGAGTGGTCATGGAATTTAGCTGCTTTCTCAGGTCTTCTTATTGCCTCGTTATGCCCAGCTTTCTTTGGACTGTGCTGCCTGCCAGCGCTCGTGGCAGACCGAGTGTGGTCTGCTGGTTTTCAGGGACGATACAGCTTCTGAGAAAGGGGATTCCCACCTGTGTCACTGCACTGGCTGCCGTGGGGTCCACATGCCTGGAGTCCCTGTGGGAACCAAGTGCTGAGAGGTTTTAAGGCAATTTTTTCACACATTCAGTGTGAATGTGGCAAAATGAGAAGAGGCCACAAAAATGAGATTAACAAAGCACACAAATAGAACTAAAAAAATTGCCTTTGGTGGAAGTCTAGAGGATAATTAATTTAAGAAAATAAAGTTGAGCCCTGGCCACATGGCTCAGTTGGGGAGCATTGTTCCATGCACTGCAAGGTTGCTAGTTCGATTCCCAGTCAGGCCACATGCCTAGGTTGTGGTTTCAGTCCCCAGTCGGGTGTGTACAGAAGGCAACTAATCAATGTTTCTCTCTCACATTGATGTTTCTCTTTCTCCCTTTCCCTCTCTATAAGAAAAAATCAATGGAAACATTTCTTCAGGTGAGGATTAAAAAAAATAAGTAAATTAAAAAATAAAGTGATCTGCAGACCACGAGAATGAAGGCAGATGTAGAAACCAAAGGTCCCCCTGTCCAGGTTGGGATGAGGGTAGAATGGAAGAGCTGTGGGGCATCCCTGAGCTCTGCTGAGAAGACTTACAGTGACAGTGAAGTGTCTCTCCAGCAGGGGCTGGGGCTCAAGGGGTGGGAATACGGAAGGAGGGTGGGGCTGTCAGTATTGCACCTGCTTTTCCTATCACCACTGAGGGGCAGCCACTGTTTTGGCCTCCCAGACCCAGAGGGCCACTAGCACACTGGGTGTGTACCTGCTGTTGAAGTAGTTGCTTCCCAGGGCAGGGAAGCCGTGGTCTTCACTAGTGCAGGATACCTCCTGTTGACCATATGGCCACTTCTGGGTCCTGCACCCCAGTAGAGACACCACCCCCACCTCACTCCTTCTAGGAAGAGTAGATCAATGTTTCTGCTTCTTATGGGGGCTGGTTTAATTCTTGACTTTATTGCATGAATTTCTTGAAACAAAACCTTTGCTTTTGGGAGGTCTGTTTTCACGTCAGGTATTGAGAGTCAAGAGAGGCGAGGACGCCTCCTCAGAGCCGCCCTTCGCCTGAGCGCACCTGTATGTGTGCAGCGGGCCAGCCAGGGCTGGGCTCAGAAGACACCCCTAAAACCCACAATTTCAGAGCCACTTAAACTTAATTAGGTTTAGGGTGTTCCAAGTTAATCAGAACATTTAAGTGCAGCTCTAGTGTAAAAAGAAGCAGAATTTGGGAAGTCTTACAAGTAAAATTAAAGACTTTTATGTATTTTAAGTTTAAAAGATCCAGAGACCTTGCAGAGTTTCTCTTTCCGTGACATACTCTTCCTGGGATGGGTTTTGTGTGGGGGTGGATGCTCCTAAGGCTCCACCTGGGTATGTGAGGAAAGTGAGTTGAGATGAGCAAGAGTCGCCCTACTCAAGGACTCATGGGTGCCTGTAGTTCATTACTTTCTGCATTAACAAAACACACTGAAATTTGACAGAGCCTTTCCCCTCGACCCCAGCCAGGGCTGGTGTGCTAGCCAGACTGGGTAGCAATGGTACAAGGTAACTTGATTCCAGAGCTCTAAGGGGTCTTGCGTGGGCAGGAGCCTGTGTGCTTCTGCCCTGACTTTCGGGTGCTGGGTCAGCAGTGGATCAAGGAACACTGTTCCCTAATGCCTGTGTAAACAGTTCTGCACAAATCTAACCCAACGGTGGATTTCCAGGAGCCCCACCCCCACACCGGGTTATGAGCTAGAGTGGGACAGGCAGGGGCCTGGCCAAAACGATGGCCTGCCTTCCCACCCAGCACTGGCAGTATCCTGATATGGGTGTCAGAGGAACAGAGGAAGCTGCTTTGCCACTGGCTAACTCTGTTCATGTGGAGGATATTTGGACAGACATTCTCGTGTTGAACAGCCTCGCATGGCTGGAGTAAATCCCATCTGGTCGAGGTGTGTCGTTCATTCTAGACACTGATGGGTTCAGTTTGCTTATGTTGAGAATTTTTTGCATCTAAGTTTGGAAGAGATACTGGTCTATAGTTTCCTTTCTTTCTTTTACTATCTTTGTTTTATTTTTATATTGAGGCAGTACTGCATAGATATTAAGGTGAGAATGTATAAAATGAGTTGGGAAGTTTTCTGTCCTCTTCTGTTCTTCTTTGCTTGGCAGAATTCTCTATGAAACCACTTGGGCCTAGAGAGTTCTTTTTTATTATAAATTTTACTTCTTTAGTGGTTCTAGAATCACTCAGGTTGTCTGTTTCATCTTGGTTGAGTTTGGGTGGTTTGTGGTTTTTGAAAAATTGGTCCATTTCTTCTGAGTTGTTGAATTTTGAGCATAAAGTTGTTGGTGGAACTTTCTCATTACCCTTTCCATAGCTGCAGGGTCTGTAGTGACAGCCCCGGTTTTATTCCTGAAGTGGATGGCAGGGTCTGCTCTCTCTTTATCTTTGTCCATTTAGCAATTTTGTTTGAAGAGGCAATTTTTTGTTTCAATGACTTGCTCAGTGGTTTTCCTGTTTTCAAATTCACTTACTAATGTGATGGTATACTTTAATACATGCAGTCAAGTATGAAAGGGAAATTTTAAGATAGATAGGGCAGAGAGGCTTCTGTGTTGGCCTGTGGGGCTTGAGAGGGGAGCCAAGCCACGGGTTTCAATTCTAGGTCAGAAAGGGAAAGTGCTGGGAATACGAAACACCTTGTCTTTACTGCATCCTAGACTGTGACACACTGTCCTGTCACTGCCTGTGAATGTGTCTGTCCCCACACAGCTCTGCAAGGGCAGGGGCTGTCCACAAGCAAGGTGGTACCCAGGAATCTGAGGAAATGTGGAAGGTGGTTCTGTTGTTGTCTCACAGATGCCTACTCTGTTTTTTTCCCTTCCAGATTCAGGATGGAGCTGCCCTTGTAGGCTTGGAAATGCCAGATGGACAAGTCTGGCTGTAGTCCAGCAGCCCAAGATTGGGTCACTGGGTGACAGGATCCTGTTGGCCAGGAATGTGACTTTATGCTGATGTTCTTAAGCCAATGAGCACAATCAGGGAAGCTGGGTAGTAGTGTTGAACTCAACACCCAGACCATAGCTGAGCTTTTACTGCCCATAAATCCTTGCTCCATGGAGGACAAGTAAGTGCAGGTGAGCAGGCTTGAGTCATGGGGCCAGGAGCAGGTTCTCAGCCTGGTGGACATGCTTGTGGGTGCTGGTTTGTGGAGAGTGATGAGCTCGGGTCTTACTCATTCTTCTGAGCAATGGGAGTGCCTGTCTGGATCTCTGCTCCCTGGGCCCTGAGCTGCGAAAGCTCAATTCTTGGATTTTCATCAGGGAGGGATAGTCTGTG